CAAGACCAGCCTGGCCAACATGGTGAAACCCCGTCTCTACTAAAAATACAAACATTAGCTGGGCATGGTGGCATGCACCTATAGTCCCAGATACTCAGGAGGCTGAGGCAGGAGAATCAATTGAACCCAGGAGGTAAAGGTTGCAGTGAGCTCAGATCATGCCACTCTACTCCAGCCTGAGTGACAGAGTGAAACTCCATCTCAAAAAAAGACTTTCGAGTCTTGACCGTCTTGTCAAAATATCTGTAAATGTGATAGTTTATTTCTGAACTCTCAATTCCATTGAACTATATATCTGTTCCTGTGGCAGTACCACATAGTCTTGAATACTATAGCATTGTATTATGTTTTGAAATCAGGAAGTATGAGTTCTCTAACTTTGTTCTCCCTTTTAAGATTGTTTTGGCATTTCTGAGTGCCTTGCATTTTCATATGAATTTTAGGATCAACTTATCAGTTTCTACAGAAGAGCCAGCTAGGAGTTTGATAGAGATTGCATTGAACATGTACGTCAATTTGGGGAATATTTCCATTTAAACAATGTTGTCTTTCAATCCATGAACACGGGATGTCCCATTTATGTAGGCCTTTTTAATTTTTTGAAAATGTTTTGCTATTTTCAAAGTACAAGTTTGCACTTATTAAATTTATTCCTAAATATTGTGTACTTTTTGATGCTATTGTGATTGGAATTGTTTTCCTTATTTTCTGATTGTCATTACTAGTGTGTAGAAACACAATTTGAGGAGTTGCAATTGTACCCTGCAACCTTGTTGAACTTGTTTATACTTTCTGATTGTTTTTTAGTGGATCCCTTAGAACTGTTTATATAAAAGATCATGTCATCTACAATTAGAGATAGTTTTACTTCTTCCTTTTCAATCTGGATGCTTTTTATTCATTTATTTTTCCTATTTGCTCTGGCTAGAATTTTCACTACTATGTCAAATTGAAGTGATGAGAGCACACTTCACTGTCTTATTCCTGATCTTAGGGGGAAAGTACTTGGACTTTCACCATTAAGTATGAGGTGAGCTGTAGGATTTTTATAGATGCCATTTATCAAGTTGAGGAAGTTCCATTCTGTTCTTAGTTGGTTGAGCATTTTTATCATGAGAGAATATTAGATTCTGTCAGATGCTAAAAACTGTGTCTGTCGAATGATCATGTTGCTTTTGTTCCTTATTCTGTGACATGTCATATTAACATTAATATTTTTGGATGTTAAACCAACCTTGCATTCTTGGAATAAGTCTCACTTGGTCGTGGTATGCAATTTTGTTTATATGTTGCTGGATATGGTCTGCTAGTAATTTTTTTTAAGATGTTTGTGTCTACATTTATAATATACTGATCCGTAGTTGTGTTTTCTTGTGATGTCTTGGTGGGAGTTATTTTAAATCAACTAAAATTAAAGAATGAATGTAGGGAGAATGTTTCAAGGCAGAGAAAAATTTAAAAATCATTGATATCATGATGAGACTTCTAAATGTGGGACTATGAGTCCTTAGCAGAACATAACCCTGAAGCACAGTGGAAAGAGCACAAGGTTTCAGTTGAAGAGCTCCTGTTTTTGCTGTATGACTTTGAGTAAACTACCTAGAATTTCCTCACTTTTAAATTCAGGATAATAATACCTATGTCAGACCTTCATTATGGGGATTAAGTGAGGTGATACATGTAGAGAGTATTTTATTAAAGGCCAAACACTATTAAAATTATGCGTGTTTATACCATATATAGAGAAAAAGAACGTAAGAGAGAGCACTGGAGGAACCGAACATCACCACTTCAAAAAAGATGGTAATAAAATTTTTGAGGGAGAACAAAACCTAATATGGAGACAGGATCATTCATTTGAGGTAGACAATGATTTAACCAAACAAATAGAATCACTTTAAAGCACATACCAAATATGTGAGTGTCATGGTAATAAAGTTTACCTTTGTCTGGGTTGGAAGGAAGTCAGTGTAGATTTTACTAGGGGGAATTTCTGTTCCTTGGTGTAAACTGGATAACAATGTGTTTTGTTTACTTTGTTTTGCTTCATTTTATTGTTTTCTGTTACATAAACTTATATTGAGTTTAGTAATTTTCATCAAATTATAACCTCCTGCTGTTAGAAATTTTCTAGAGGCCGTTTGAAAAACATCAAGGGATACAACTAAAAGATGACTACAAATATGCTTTGTTTGTTTTAACTCTTTTCAGATACAAAGCCAGCCTGCATATTTAACAACGTGGAATATTATGATGGAGACATGTTTCGAATGGACAACTGTCGGTTCTGTCGATGCCAAGGGGGCGTTGCCATCTGCTTCACTGCCCAATGTGGTGAGATAAACTGTGAGAGGTACTACGTGCCTGAAGGAGAGTGCTGCCCAGTGTGTGAAGGTAAGAAAAGGTGCTAATTACAGATTAACAGGCGTATGCATGGTATAGAGTTCTGAAATCGAAATTGTCCTAATTTAGTCTCATCCAAAAGTAAAGGAATGTTGAAGTTCCTTGTTTAGAACTCTTTTAGGACACCGTGGTCTGTCTTCTAGCATGTTAAAGCCAGGTAGAGTGTGTAGAAACACTTCCCTGAGGGAAGCTATGCCTGGGTGTAGATGATGGGTCACATCTTTCCATAGGCAGCGTGAGATGTCCCGGAGTTGTTTTCCATTCCTCCCCTGCAGTTCTAGCAAGTCCTCAGCAAGTCCTGGGGCAAAGCTTTATCTTCATCCTGGCATTAGAGCTCACCACCTGCTCACCTCAGATTGCTCAGTTAGGATAACGCGGACCTCACCCTGACAGTCTCAGTCTGCCGGCCCAGAGAGGAACTAACCCTGCCCCTGTCGCAATACCCAGGCCTCTCCAGGGAGATCAGGGACCTGCTACTGCTTCTCTGAAAATATGTGGTGGTTCACATGGGGTCATGGTATCAGGTAGCGGTGACACCAGCTCGAGGCCCAGCGAGGTGTCAGGTGTGACTCAGGAATCTGCTTTCTCTGGATTCCCGTCTTCTCTCCAGGAAGTAATATGTTCATGTTCTTTCATCAGGCCGCATCTTCCCATCACTGATGTTCATAAATAATAAGCATTTCAACAGTTGCTCTGAGTATCACTTGCTGCAACCGACACATTTTACAGATTAGGATGTTCAAGTTCAAAAGAGAAAAGTCACTTGCCTGGGTTTACAATGCAGCCAGTAACAATAACCCCATGCCTGACTGTGTCTGTAGTGTTCTTCTGACAACACAACACTGTTTCCCCAGAAAGGAGGGTCATGTGAGCCTTTGTGTCCTAACTGGGCCCCAGATCTTCAGTCTGAAGTCTCATGTGTTAATCTTATGCCTGATCCCTGCACACAAAGTGGGAGGCACAGTGTCATGCCACTTTCCATACTTCCTCATTTTCATAACATTGTCTCCTTTTGATGTTTGAGCTGTATTTGCCACATAATGCTGATCTGAAAATGTTTAAAGTATAACAATTGCATTCCTAACATGGTTCGTAACAGTGAGTCCTTTTCCCTATTAGAGGTTATTTTAGCCACCATAGGAGAAAAGTAGTTTATTTTTTAGGTGATGTTGACAATTAAAAAGAATTACTTCAAATTTTTAACCTTCCTAATTGATTTGTTCCCTACCTGCCCCCAGTCTGTAATAGTTCTGAAACTGAGCAGCAGTTGATGCTGTAAAAATGTAGATACGAACCTCTGTGTAGTCATCGTAGTTGTCTGGGCATGGATCCGGTTATGTCTCACTTCCTGGAATTCAAATCCAGCCTCCATGTAGAAAAATATGTATTCTAATACTTTTTACACAGGAATTTAAAAAATCTTATCTTGCTCAGGTCCATTGGCCGCGTCCCTCTCTGGCAAACTGCCTTCCTAACGCTGTGATGGCATTATTTTAAATGTTGACCTTCTAACTTTATTATAATGCCCTACTATGTCCTTAGAATAAAGATGACCAAACTCTAAACTGTCTGGATTCCTCTCCCAGCACAGCAGTACTTGTTTGTTGAACCCAATTTTTTATGTATTTCTGAGAAAGAAAATTGAGTAATTTATCTAGTTGCTCTCAATAGAGGGATAAGTGAGGGTTTCGTATGCAGTATTTATATCCTTGTCAATAACCTCAGAAACATTTTCTTTTTTTTTTACAGTAGCTTTGGCTACTTCTGTCTCCCACCTGGGGCTGCAGCTTAGCTTCACAGCTTATGGGAGAAAAAATGGCCTAAGTTCACAGCCCTCCTCCAAGGCAGTGACCCATGGTATGTCTAGACCAGCCTTGTCATGAACAAGGCCACAGCAAGAGCCCTGTTGCCCACATGGTCCTGCAGGCACATGAGATAGAGTTCTAGAAGTAACAGTATCACTCTAATTTAGACAGGGCATTGTTCCTTCCACTTTACAGGTAGGGAAACTGAGGTTTGATAAACATTTATGTCTACAACTGTGAAGACATTGTCAGAGCCTAATATGGATTCATGTTTTCTAATTACCAACACACAGCTCTTGCCACAAAGCTTTCCAGCTTTACAGAGTGATAATACCTGCACGTTGGTTTTTAGACTACAGATCCTCTTCTCTGGCACTGCTGTGTCAGGATGAGTAGACATAAATTCAGTGTGACAGCTGTTTTTGCATGCACCCCCAGAGACTCCTCATGCAACCCTGAGCTTCTGTTGATCACAGTGGGAATAGAACTGCTGATGACTAGAACCCAGGAAAAAAAAGTCTCTGGGTGCAGGCAGAGATAAGATTTAGAATATGCTCGGTCTAACTCTGAACTCATGTTCTCATTTAGATCCAGTGTATCCTTTTAATAATCCCGCTGGCTGCTATGCCAATGGCCTGATCCTCGCCCACGGAGACCGGTGGCGGGAAGACGACTGCACATTCTGCCAGTGCGTCAATGGTGAACGCCACTGCGTTGCGACCGTCTGCGGACAGACCTGCACGAACCCTGTGAAAGTGCCTGGGGAGTGTTGCCCCGTGTGCGAAGGTAAATCTTGTAGATGCTAATGAGTCCCTTGCGAATGTCTTGTGTTGGAGAAGCTTCTACCAATGTATGTTCTTGTTTGTTTATTTCCTCTGGCATAATGTCTGCTTCACGCTGTTACCAGTTGCCGACAAATTGATCAAACAGCTCAAACTAATCATTTGAGGGAAATGTTGCACATGTAAAATGAGAATAGTGTGGTCATTATTTTGCCATTGCAAATATGCGCATCTGAATACCTTACAGTATAAGAATGTATACATTTTAATTAAGTTCACTTTGAGCCTAATTAACATCCAAAGGTCAGTCTAACAAAATGAAATTGAAAATGAGACCGATGAGTCAAACGTAGCAGGTTTGACTTGTGACGCCTGCATAAGCCCAAGGGTCCTGGCAACTAGAAGACTGGAACCATCAAAGGCAATTTGCACTGCCTAGTGCCGTCACCGTGTATCTATTCTACTTCTCATATCCCAATGGCTGTGGCTTTGCAATTCCTGTAGTGCTGTTATTTATTTTGTGGTTACCTGCATTTGCTACCTCTCTTCTTGTTCAGTGGAGGGAAGCCTGAGGCATTCTGGACTAGTTTTTCTGTCCTGACTCCTATTCCAGCTCATTTCCTCCATCCTGGGTAGATTCTCTGCATACTTAACTCATGTCAGTTTTTAATCTTGTGTCTATGTCTGTTAGTGCAGACAAGGGTTTGAATATTTATACAGACATTTCTAATAGAGGGTATCCAGCATTAAGAAGCACGTTTGCATAGTAAAATGAACTAATGTGGGTCAAAAATTAATTCATGTTGAAGATGGCTCTTTCTAGAATTTCTAAAAACAGATACTGAAAAATGGACTTATCTTTCCAGAAAGTCAGTTAAGTAGACTAAGTCTTTGAAGTACAAAGAAGTCTTGTGCTTCCACCGAAATGTTAATAAACTCAGACTCCAGAGTTTGCCTGACTAGCTTCATCAGCCTCTGAGGGGCTAGACTTATTAAAGACCTTAAAAATCATATAAAAGTTTAACCTTGAGGACTCGTTCTATTGACATCACCGATTCCTTCATCATTACTATACTCAGAGTGCAGCTGCCACACTCCAAAACTTTATAGCTTCCAGATGACCAGTTTTGTGGAAGTCACCCACCCCTTCATGTATATTTACTCCTCCCGTTCCCTAAAGGCAGCATTTCAGTGCTGGAAAAAAAGAGCATGTAGAAATACATATAATGGTCGTATAGTCGGCTTTACAGGAAAGGGTGCCTGACTGAATCAGATGAAGATAAGAACATCTGTCCCTAAGAATTAGGGACAATCTATTGTCAACTTGAAATATTTAATTACAAATATTTGGGACACACCGTAAGGAAAATGAAAAGCATAAATTCATAATCCAGTAAACATTAGCCCTTTAACCTCATGGGTCTTGTGTCATAAATTCAAAATAAAACTTTAAAAACTTGTTAAAGAATAAAAGAGCCTTTCCTCTGGAAGTAAATGAGAGGAAGGCTGATCCTTTCGTACCCATCTTTTGCATTCATCAGCATATCCATCACAAAGAGTGGAGAAGGAAGGCAGTTGGTGAACAGGTAAATATATATATAACTCATTTATTACCATTTTCTTAGCACACATTGATGTTTGGGTAAGGAGTGAATCTTAGTATAGTCACTTAGAATTTGGTATCTGCAACATCTGCATAGAGTTGTAATCTAATCATCTACTGTTTGAAAAAAGTTACAGTTTTGGTGAGCCATTAATTTCAAAAAATTAAGAACCTCCTGGAATTCAGATACGACATTGGACGCAAAGATAAGTAAGAGATAACCTTTAACTTTGAGGAACCTATTTAGGCTGAGTTTTAAATTAAACCAGGAGAAAGGGAATGTCCCTGTTGAGGTATGGTGGGGTAAGTGCATCACATTTGTACCCAATCTCATTTAACCTTCACAGCAACACTGCTGAAGCCTTTATTATCCATTTTGGAGATGAAGACATTCAGGTTTGGAGTAATTTAGATCATTTCCCCCAAGGGTGTAGTTGCCATTGTGTGGCTGAGTGAGGATCAACTGAAGTCTGTCAGGTTCAGCTCCATTTGTGCTTGCTCCCCCTGCCCCACTCAGCATCCCAGCCTAACTCATGCCCTGTTTCTAGTGTCCTCACCCATCTCTGCTCACCGCTGGCTTTTGGTTCTGTTGAGGAGTGATGGCAGTCAGCGGGGCCAAGGGAGGAAATCATTTGCAGTTTGAAAACTACTCCAGGTATTTTGAATGTGGTCATCCACCTACTGTCTCCTCGCAGTTTGAAGACCTCAGGGGAAAGATGCCTTTGAGATGCATCCCTGAATTCACTTCTAGAGCCTCAGGTCTGGGCAGCCCCCTCCACCTCAACAGAGCTCAGTGTCCTTGTCATTTCAGCTGTAAAGTTCTGCTGGTCTTTTTTCCTCTCTGTCTCTTTCATGCTCTGGCTCTCATCTCTCATCAAACCTTTCAGAAGATTCCATTTTCTGGTTCTCAGAAATAATTTATCTTGCTTTTCTTGTTTTTGTTTTTAACTTAGTTGAGTAGTGAGTTTCATATGAATGTATTTACTCTCCAATAACGCTTTCATTTTAAGATGTATTAATAATAGGAACAGATTTTTTTAGTATAGGATAAACTTACAAAATAACACAAGGTGAATGGATCTTACTGCTTAGTTTATGGTCCAGGAAAGTCTCTGGGATTATTTGAAGACATTTTTTCTCAGCAGTCATTCAATATCATACTTAAATATAATTTCAAATGATTTCAGAGTAGCAAAAGGATTGTATGAAATTAGAAAAAGTGCAAGGTGTTAATGTGCAAAAAATAAGCAATCACCCAGAAATAGTTAGAGGAAAACCAGAAACACTGGTATTTACCTAGTTTATACACACAGTACATTCCTCTGTGCACAGTTGCATAACCAGTGTTGGCCCTTACCCTATTAGCTACAGTCTCTAGGTACATAGTCAGAGTACGAAATTAGATGAAGGGACCCCACACAAGGATTGTGGTTTTAGATTCTAAGTAAACTAACAGCATCACTAAATAAGGCGTGTTAGGACCTCCAAGGAGGAAGAACCTTATTGTGGCTGTTGTTATTGGAGACACATACCTTCCCAATGACAAGATAATATGCTTTTTGGTTACTCCCGGAGGACTAGGGATGTGAACCCGGGGTCCTTAAAGACTAGGCTGTTACTTGACAGCTGACTTGATTCACAAGTACCTAAGTGCTTTTTAAATTGGCACTTAAGTACTCTCATGATGAATTCTTAGCAAGTTATTGTCAACACCCAATTCAGGTATACAGATAAGCCTTTCCAGTCTGTAACTGATTATATTCTCACATTTTGCCTTGTTGACTTTTCTCTACATCTCTTGTTTATCGATCTCATTATTTTTATTTTCTGACCCCTGTAAAGAGCTAGGGTGGAAACGTGGAATAGCATATAAAGTTTTCAGTTGAAGGGTATACATACACAGCATGGCCTTAATGTCCTTAAAAACTGAAAACAAAAAAGAGATGGGACAGCAGAATTAGGTCTTCATCTGTGTCTGGCACCATTGGACCACTGTTATTTGTAACCCTTAATGACAGTAGCTAACATTTCATACTATTGTTATGTGTCAGGTTTAACTGCTTTAAGAGGAGCAACTAATTTGAGATCCTCACAGCATCCCTTTGGTATGGGTGCTGTCATCCCAGTTTACCATCAGAGAACACAAAGTTCAGAGGCCATGTAATTTGCCCAGGGTCATAAAGCTCATAACTGACAGCACAGTGTGTCCCCAGAACCAGACCCTGCACCCTGAATGGACACTGCCTCTGCTGCAGTGCATTACACCCTGAAAGAGGCTCCATGCCCATGGAAAGAAAGAATTTGGCATATTCTTTTGAATCCTAAAACAACATCTGATACGTAAGTAGATGCTCAAAAATTTTTAATGAGTAAATAATAAGTGAGGGCAGTGAGGAGGAAAGAAAGATTGGAGCAGCAAGTCCCAACCAGACCCTTCTTGCAGATCTTCTTTTTAGTTGAGTGAGGGAGGAGACCCTGATACAGGGTTACCTTAACCAGATCGTCAAAAGCTGATGGCCATTGGGACCCCTGGTCTACCAGCGGAAGGAAGAATAATGTCAGGGTGCTTATCACTGAAAACACATTTTTGAGAACATAAGTAAGAGTGTTGTGGAAGTGTGTGACATGAGGTGGACCAAGTAAGAGTGTTGTGGAAGTGTGTGACATGAGGTGGACCAAGTAAGAGTGTTGTGGAAGTGTGTGACATGAGGTGGGCCCACATGTCTACAGGCCAGTTGGACCAATTTCCTGCACTGACAGTTCACCCTTCTGGTGGGCTCAGCTCTGGGCTCCATCCCTGTGGCAGCCTCATGGGCCTTCCAAGACTGATGTGTACTCTGTGGTTTGTTCTCTCCCAGTTCAGCCTCTGAAGTCCAGAATCACAGAGTTTAAGTGGGGCTACCCAGACACTCTAAGGCTAATGCTCGTTGCCACGTTAATGTACTGTTTTTAAGATTGCATGGTGTAGGTGCCACTGTATTTCAGTTACTTACATGGACAAGGATTTTTTTTACTACATCATTAGGTATTGAGAATAATTTGCTAATTTTTTTTCCAATGATACCAAGTATAAATGCTGCCGAAGGTGACTCTTAATATCAGAGGGATCCTGAGGACAGGTTGCCATTTCCATTAGAAATCTGTTTTGCAACTGAAGGTAAAATAAGGCATTGGGGAGGGAAGTTTTGGCTATGTGACATCTATAACATCCCCGTGATTACTCAGTAAGAAAATTCAAGAGATGTGGACAGGTGTGTGGCCAGCTTAGCTGTGACACCTGATGCAAGAGATTAGAGCTTCATGGGGACTTTGAAGTCTTGATGTCAGACCTGATCTGCCCTCTCATCTTGGGCTGCGGCTGGACCCGACCCAGGTGGCCACTGTGACCTGAGTGTTCTTCAGGCCTCCTTATGTGCATTGTCTCCTGCAGGGAGGAGCTGATGATTTTGATGACCTTAGGGATTTTGAAGCCAACACCAGAGTATCACTTTTCAAGAACTAGGAACAACTTAGGTAATATTTTAAAAGGTAGCATTCAGAATTATACTCAGGTTGCCAGTAAATAAATTCCATGCTTGAGGTTGGGCAAATGGGTAGTTTCCCCTCTACTATTTCTGTCTGTCTGAAAACAAAGCAAAATCCATGTTCTATCTCTGACAGGAAGTCAAAGAGTTATTTGTAGATTGTTAAAGCTGGACGAGAGGTATATCAGAGTCCATAGTATTCAGTATTTTTTAAGTTTTCTTCTTAATAAAACTTTAAAATTGCTCTTTGCAGACATATTAGCAGATATCCAACTGAGTTTCAGGCCTAATAATTCTGCCAATAACCTGGACTTAACTCTTGAAGTAGAGGATAAATAAGAGATTCACTGTGCATGGATTCTTTCTAACTCTGGGTTCAGGATGGAATGTGGTTGAACCAAAAAATCAACTCTCTTTCTTCCTGCCACCTGGCTTTCTTGGATCTCTGACTTAGGGAATCCTGGTCCTACTTGGGATAGTGTTGAAGACTGAATGTCAGGCATGTCTTGACCTGTGTGGATTTAATAAGCCACTTCAGTCTCAGCTAACCCAATAGTGTAAGTTATACTCATCTAAAAGGCTGGAGTTCTGTGAGCTATCAAATGTACTGTCGTCTTCATCAATCCCAAATTTATAGAAGCACTATATTCTATCCCTGAAGGCTGATGACATAGCTTGAATCAAGCTGCCTTTCTAATGAGATTTCCACTGGGCTGCCAGAAAAGTCTGTACCAGGCACATATCTGGGTGGGAATTCTTTGAAACTAGAAAAAATGTTTCCAGCCCTGCCCATAATGCTTCCTCACTGAACAGTATCTCAAATGATTAAGCTACTGCTTTTGTGGCACGGAGTCAAACATAGTTTGGCTGACCCCAAGACGCAGTGAAGTCAAAGATGCCATAGGGTCACATGTTATTAACATTCTGGTACATAACAGGGATCAAAACTCAGTTTATGGGTGGTATTGCTTCAGTGCCATATACTATGCTATTATTAGTAAGCCAAGAATAATAAAATATTCGTAATAGCCTAAAGACTGTTAGGCATGTGTTTTATCCTTTAACTCTAAATGTCCTGGAGACTAGTTCCATAAATGGAAATTAAAATATAACACAGTCTATTTTTTGCTTGTCCAAATAAGGTCATATGTTGGGTTACCAATGCGTAGCAAATGACCATTTGTTCACCTAGGTCTTTAACATAAACATCAGAAATTTTCAGTGATGAATATTGTCATATTTTGATTTTTATTTGGTCATTTAAAATATCTTTAGATACTTAAAACTAGAATATAGGTAAAATGAATGTAAAAGACATTCATATCCGGCCTTAATATATCACTTTCAAGATTTTGTGATTTTTCACAGCTATATAGAAATATGTACATTATGTAAGTGACTTTCTTTACATGTTAGATCCACCACTTACATTAATAGTTAAACAAGTATAGAAATAAATGTTGTAGAAGTAAATAGAGAAGAAATGGTTATTCTTAGACCGAGAAGTTCTGCTGCTGGTTCTCCAAGTCCAGCATGTCTTTGCTTGTGTCAGTAATGCCTTGTACTTTGTACTTGATTTTGAGTAAGGCTGCCATACTGAACCAAGTTTTATAAATAAAAGTGAAGGTTGGTCTTATACTCTTAATTTGCTAGATGACCAAACTGATCAATGCCTTAAATGTTCAGAATTGTTGAGAGCTAATTCTGAAACACATGATTGGAAATTCCTCTGCCCCTGAGTCTACAGAGTTCAGCTGGTAAGTATTTCCCTATTGAAGTGGCATGCAAGGGGGTGGGTTGCCCTTTATTTCCTCTGCCGTCTACTTCCCATACCTAAAAGGGTGTTATTGCTGGGAGTCTCATAATTTTCCTACTAAGACAATAATTGCATCTAATAGATCAGACTTGGGCCTGCTAATTTTCATCTAATCAACAGAGGCAGGAAAACATAGTCTGGAATGCTAACTATGTGAATGAAAAATATTTAGTCATTCTTGAAATGATAGGAATGTTTTTCCAACAAGCTTAAATAAACACAATCTCTTTTGAGACTGTGCTAAACTTTTTTTGGATGAGACAACTCTTAGGCAACCAAACAGAAGTTAATGAAGGTTATTAAGAGACATGCCCTTCAGAAAAGGCTTGCAGACTTTAAAAAGAAAAGATTCCATCTTCTTTATGCTACAGCCATTGATAAATAGCAGAATTGGTTTCCTTTTAGCTTTTGTCTACCCAGTAGAATTTAAAATTTTAATTAGTAATCATACTGCCCAACGTTTAAAAGATACCGTTTTAACTAACATGGCTATATTAGACCATCTTATTTTAAAATCCTCATCTCCTCCTACTGTTTGCCTCAGTTCCAAGGAATTGATTGGACTCAACACCCCTGTATTTAAAGCACCTGATTACACTTTCCTATGAAGCATGTTTGTTTATTCCCACCAATACAAGGTCCCACCAGATAATAAAATTATTTTTAAACATACTAAAATGTACGTATTAAAGTGAAGTGTTTTCCTTTCAGAAGTTATATGGGAAAAATGTATACTTATTCCAGGAATACAGTCGTTCAGAATATTTTTGGTGCCTCTCTTTTGAAACTGACTTTAGAGACCATAGAACATCCTTTTGAATATCCTCAGATTTGTAAATCCTTGACTTTGAAGGTTTATTAAACTCTAGGAAATAGCCAAAGTCATTTATGTTGAAGTCTGGTTTAAAAAAAAAAAAAAAGGTGGCCGATGTAGCTGAGTAAAACTCTTTAGAGGAAGCAAAAAGTGACAGTAAAATAAAGGCACTTTGTCTTCTATGACATAGTAATTTGCTCTGAGAACAACTATGAAGAGGTTTCAAATAGAATTTTAACATGAACAGCATTTTGGCATAAGAATATAGCCTTTAGAAGTGAGTACTTTTATCAATAACACTTATTTGTAAGTATAACTCCTGGTGTGTTTATTAAAAAAAAATCAGTTCACCTACTACATAGTATTTTTATGACTTCTAGGGACTAGAGGCATATATTAAAATGGTCATATACTGTATTACAATGTTTTTCTGAAATTGCAGGTGTTCTATTCCAACATTTTTTTTCAAATAAATTAGACTAAAATAATTTGCCTATAGAAACAGCTCAAAATACATAGTGATTCTAATGCAGTTTATTTTTAGTATTTTAGTTATCTAATACCACTTCTAATTATACCAAACTGTTTCCTGGTATAGTCTTAAGTATATCTTATAAAAACAAAATGATTTCACATTGCTTAATGTATGAGGGTTAGCACTGAAGATAGTGAAAAATCCAGTGAGCCACTGTTAAAGCCCCTATTAGAACTTTTCTGTGCTATATCTATCTGATTATTGAAGATACAGTGTACAGATACACAAGCATATAAAACATCTGTTGCAATACCACTTTAAAATCGTAGGACAGATTGAAAGAAGGGAAATGTTAAAGAACGCCTCTTGCATTTGTGTGTGTCTCCCCATCGCAGGTGGCTGATGAAGTGGCAGGAGCAGCATCATACCCACCTATCAGCCACCTGCCAGGGGACTCAGCAGTGCCAGATCTTGGTCCAGGGGTCATACCATCAGTTTAATCTAAATTCGACATGGGATGAGCAATACAGGACATTTAGCATGTTTCTGAAATTTGCCAGAAAGCATGCATTTTGTTTTACAATATTTTGAGTTTAAGTTGATTAGTAGTTTGACCAAATTTTTATTTACCATTTATATCTACAGAACTGTTTACACCTCAGTGGAGTTTAACTTTCACATCTGAGAGATTAGCTGGATTTATCTGGTTTGTTTGAAACACAGCCCAATTCAGGTATATGGACCATTTGAGATGACAGAATTTAATTCTGGCTGCCAACAAAAAGGTGCAATCCAGGGCTCCAGTTCTTACTTTGCAGCAGCGTAGTGAAACACAACTAAGAATCCTCAAGATCCTAAGGCCAAGTACTTGATCCTTGTGGACCCCGCAAATCATGTAACTTTCACATTGGCTGCTGGGGCAAACCCAGAATTGATTTGCAAGCCACCACTCAACCAGCACCAGAATTCAAAGCATGGATTCTGTGTGCTTACCTCATCCCTGCCCGCAGCTTACTCTTTTCTAGCTAAAATTTACCTGGATCCCCATTTCCTTACTTTAAAAAAGTATTCATGATATAATTTGAGACTTGCCTTGAATCTATTATGTAATCTAATGACGTATATTTATATGCTTCTTTATGTATATTCAGTGCCTATCCTTTGCCTGTGCCTTTGTGCCTTGCATGGTAGTCGAATCCCCTTAGTTTGCCTATCAGTAGGAAGACAGGAGATCATGTTGTTTTTCACCTTAATTGAACAGCTCACTTTTAAAACATGTCAACTCACTTTTAAAACAATTCAGGGAGTCTCTATTTGTTAGGGAAGCTATAATATGTTTGGAGATAATAAGCTATCCACTTGGGATGACCTCAGGCCTTGCATATTGAGAGGGTGGGCAAGCTCAGATCTTTTCAAAGCCATAAATCTCTCATCCTTTCTGGGAATCAAGTTTTTTAAAGATTCCATGGAGATTTTATGTCAGACGAATTCCACAGGGGGTGCTTCACAGTCCTGTGACAGAGATACTACGAACATGACTCATTGCTTGAGAAGCCCCTACATTTCTTGTTATGAAAGTACTGGTTGAACTTTCTCTTATTGTTGACATATGTTTGAGATCCCTGACTTCCTAATGCTGAGATTTGCTGATTAAAGACAGTTTTTAGAAATAGGTCTTCTGTATCTTTCAACTTGAGAGTGGCAGAAACACTGGCAAAGATAAAAACTAGTATAAATGATACTGTGATGGGTTTGCCCTTGTCCCTAAAGATCTAGCAAGGCCCCCATCATGAGAGAGGAAGAACGGGGGCCAGGCACACAGAGGCATTGTTTCAACCCACATTGGATTAGCTGATTACTAAGAGATTTCTGTTCTCTTGGAGACATCATAGACATAGTCAAAATGTAGAACAATGATATCAGACTGCTACTCAGCAAATGTGAAAGGCGCAACTGGCTGGTCACTAACATGCTCCAAAGCTTACCAGACCATATGAAAAGACAGCACAGACCCACCCACCATCTCACATGCTTTTCATGTTATCAGTGGAGATAGAAAATGATACTTAAGTTACAATAGGCAGGGTTCAGAATGCCGAACCAATTGCCATACCATTTATCAGCTGAGCATTTGAGGTCTGTGAAAGGGCTAATAATTCATTAGCCATTACCCGAGACCAGTTATAGCTCTGAGCAGACAAGATCAGCATGACATCAATAATTACAACAACAAGTAATATTGCTGTCACCCTTACAGTATAGTCTTTTCTTGACAATCTTGTTTGAGCATTATAGGAATATTGTAAGGTAGAAATAATGAGTATTCCCATTTTCTAGAAGCCCGGAGAGGTCCATCATAACATGTTAGCCTAAGGAGAGAGCAGAGACTCAAGCTATGTTTTCTGACTCCAAATCCATGACCTTGGCATTGCTTCCCAGTAGACCCCCATCGTGAGAAGACGGGGGATGAGGAAGATCAGATGGTGAATATCAAAGTACTTGATCATTGTGGCTTAGATTCAAAAGCCAGTCTCTCCTGGCCCCATCCCCATTGCTGAGACCCAGTTACTGTTATTCTGAACTCTGTGGCCCAGCCTTTGATCCCGGGTTCTTTTCATGAGCCTCTGACTGGAATTTTGACCTTGCTCTTTGACTTCTGGGAGAGCTGGATCTGTTTTCTGCTTCCACTTGTTCATTCCTGCATCCTCCCACCTAGGGACATTACTCAACCCAAGAGCCCTGACCCACTCTCCCATCCTGTCAAGCTTGACCTCTGCCCATTCTTGTTCATATCCGTCCAAATTCTAGGCCCCAGGCCCTAACCATTGGCACTTAAGCCCCCACTGAGTAAATGAGCTGCTCAGCCTCCATCAGTCTGCCAGGCACCAAGATACCATCACCAGCACGTGTGCATTCTGCTCTGCACTCTTCCTTTTCTTTCTCTGATTCTCGTCAGTGTCTAATTAACTCGGTTGTCAGTTTGCCAGGCAGTCAGCAAGTGCCCATAATTTCATGCAGTAGAAGATGAGCTCCTGAGTTGAATGACTGCCTAACTGTTTTCAGGATTATTTTAATAACCCTTTTTATTTGGCATCATCAAGGAGTAGGGTAGTTCCAGAAGTGAATTCTCCAGGTAATTAAAATTTGGGATGTCAGATCTTACATGAAGAATTTTGATGTGAGGCCTTCTATAATACTTTGTGTACTTTTGTGCCTTCTTAAACCAAAGATACAGATCATATTTTAACCCATCTCAGGAAACTGAGTGTCATCACTGAGTAATCTCATTTTGGACAGATTTGGGGATTTGCACTGTATTTTCACTATTACTAAGTATGTCAGGTTTACAACAGCGTTCAGCTCTGGCTTTCTGCTTCAGTGGAGCTCATTTATTGTGTACCTCCTATGTGCAAAAGACTGCCATAGTGATGTGGACCCTAAGGAACTTACTGTCTAATCTTCTAAAAGTTAGAAAATTAGAGATTACAGCCTCTTAGGACAATTTTGAATGGGAGCTCTTCTTTGCCAAATAATGTACACTGACTTTAGGTGCTTAGATGTCTTTCTTTTTGCCTTTTTGTTCATTCATTGAGCAGTTCTATAGACCAAACTGCTAGGTGCTGAGGAGATAAACAGTGAATGAAGTATTGTCCCTAACATGCAGACCCTTCCTCCCTGGTTTTCAACCATTTTCCAGAAGGCTAGGTTCCAGTTACCAAAATTCTGACCGCCTGACCCACCCTGTACAAGTTGAAAATAGCTACCTAAATGTGCACACACACAAACCCGCATACCTATTAATATAACACATTATTTCCAGTTAAAGTCTACGAAAATATAATTCCTGTGAACATTAGCAATAGAAAGAATAAACATAAAATGTAAGACAAGTATAAAAGATCTAGATTCTTGGAATCCAGTGATAATTTTGTGAGCTGTCTCAAGCTGGATTCCCAGAAAAAGATACCGCACTCTATATTAAAAAAAAAATTTAATTTGTCTTTTGTGTTCTTTTAATAATCTCAATAATACTATCATCTTTTCCTATTAAATATGGTTTTGGTAAAGGAAGAAAAATATTAATATGTTTAACAGCCAAGATTCCTTGGGAAAACCATACAAAATTAATAAATAGGTCTAAAATAAATATATGGTTGCTTCCCTTTCCGATCACAAAATAATACAAATCTTGGGAACATTTGCACACTATTCATTTTAAAATAAAATAAACTGCTCTGAGATAAGTACTTCAGAAATTACAAGGATGTAGGTGTTGTTATGAGAAATGTACAAAGGGAAAAAGGATAACCAAATGTGTAGCGGCTGAAAGAATTTGAAAACTCCAACCGTAAGAGACTTTTTTCCATGACTTAATGAGGCTCTCTTAAGTACACATTCAAACGCCATGGAAATTCCCACTTCCAGATTAGGGAATTTTTATATCTTCAATTTTCTTTTCTTATTGTCTGCTTTAGTAGAGTTTTTCCTCTAGCTTCATTTGGGAAAATTTCATCTTCACTGTACTTTTCTTCCCAAGATGCAATTATGTTGACAGTTTGGTGATTTATTTGAAAGGTGTTCTGACCAGTTATGGCTCACATTTGAAAAGTATCTGTGTTAGCAGTATGACATACGAAAATACAGCAAAATAGACAAGCTTTGATGCTGCCTTGGCCAGCCTTATCTCCAGTTTTATGGCCCCGGCTAGGAGACCTGATATATTTAGCCATTGAACTGCCATGTAAAGTCAGTGACATTTTGGAATTTTCCTACTCATTGGATAGTCACATTGCTTAACCAAGTTCAGCCCCCTCCAACACCCCAATCCCTGCCCAAAATAAAAAAATAAAACTACCTTAAGAAAGAGTGCGTGAAGTAAGTCTGAAAAGAAAGCGTAATTGTTCATAATCAAATAAGCAGGCTTGGGAATTTACAGAGAAGAGCTATGTAAAATATGCAAAGCATTATTAAAGCCCAAAAGAAGAAGTAATAAGAGAAACGAGAGACAGATAGAAATTGTTAGCTTCATTTATCTTATTACTTCTACTTGAATTTTTTTTTCACTTATGAAGAAATGTAAGAATGTATCTGTCTTTAAAAAGTACTTTTTCTATAATCCCAGCACTTTGGGAGGCTGAGGTAGGAAGATTGCTTGAGGTCAGGAGTTCGAGACCGGACTGGGCAACATAGTGAGATCTCATCTCAAAAGAAGAAGAAGAAAAATAAATAAAAATGAAAACAAAGCATTTTTTCTGGAAATGTGCATACAAAGAGGTTTTTCCAGAAAGACTTTTCTTAGTGTGTGGGTGTGTGTGCGTATGAATGCATAGGAACGGAGGGTGCTGGCAGACAGCTGCTCTCCACAGCCAGGCCTGCAGTTCACCAGGGGACAACACAGTGAGGCAGCAGTCCTACAGACAATCAGAATCTAGAAACAGAGTTAATTACCCTCCTGACAAGACAGTGCTACACACAAACCCAACAGGGATGGCTGTGTATCCCTTCAACAGTTGTACATTTACAGAGTCACCCACCCATAGTCAAGAGCTGCTAATTGGTTGTCAGCTTTCCCAGGGCTGCTAATCAGAAAGAGTGCTTCAGACATTTCTCAATGGAGATAATTAATATTATTTATGAGAGAGAACTAGCTCATGGTAATCTATCTAAGAACCTTGTATGGATTAATTCAAAACCAGAAGTTCAGTGGAGTAATACAGATTAGACAGCAAGTTAAAAGCATCTATTAACATTGTCATTTAAGCTACATGTACCTGAAATATAAAAACTAATTATTATATTATTTCAGAAGTGAATATGCCTAATTATACATTTAAAAATAACAGAAGGTCAAAATATGTTCATTTTTATTGTTCTCCCAAAGTTGTTGAACTATATAATGTGAGGATAAGACTGATCTAAAAACTTTATACTAGCATCTTAAAGGGCTGAATTTGAATTTCAGCTTATTACTTCCTTGGCCACTTTTTGAAGAATTTCTCATAAAATAAAATCACAAAAGGCAAGAAAGTAGAGAGCTTAGATTTGCTTAACACATTTATAACACCTGAATAACCGAATATATATTTATGGTCTAGTACCGTGGCCTTGAAGTTAGATTCATGATTTTCATTTTAACTTTATACTTTAAATCAAATTAATTGTGATGCCAGTAGCTTAATTTCACCATTGAGTAGATAAAATTGCTCCTAGGAAATATGTGAATATCAATATAAAATACCGATGGTGTTTTTCCATAACTTAGTGTCTGAAGCTCTCTAATTTGTAAAAAAATACTAACATTTTCCTGGAAATACTTTTACTGACAAGACATCTGTTAGGCTTTTTAGGATATGAAAGAAGTAACCCTAAATTTTTAATAAATGTAAAATGAAGAATCAGCGTGTGTTTGTTTATGTTATTGCATGTTGTAAGATACTTTGTCAAAATTTTGTTCTCTTAAGACTTGGGATAAGAATTGGTGGCTGAGCATCTGCACTCCTGACAATCCCAAGGGTTATTTTAAAAATAGCTCTTCTGGACAGTGTAAGGTGCCTGGAGGGTCTCTCAAAATTGTTCAAGAAAACAACAGGTTGAGGAGAGTAATGTTTCCCACTCAGATGCTGAGTAGGAAACAAGCAAACCGGATGTAGACATAACAAACACCCATTTTTGTTCTTTATTGCTTCTAGGCTCAAACTATTTCTAGAATTCTTCTCCACAAGGAAGCTGTTCGAGGGTTCCCTTTAGAAATAGTAGTAGCCAAAGACAGTGAATTCCTGCTGTTTCAAGCCTTCTTCCTTTGGAGGACATTAAGGTATTTCTTTAATTCCTCAGCTGATTCAATACAAGATGAGATAGAATTTCAGGGTGATCCTATAAACAGTACTTCACTGAATTTCCCCTCTCCAAAACCCCACCTTTATGCAAGCATTTCATCATTCTCCTAAATCTAAGACCATTTATCTCCTCTGAAAGAGGCCTACTAACACATACCTACCCAGCCAGTTTAAAGGAGGACAGTTTTCTTTGCTCCAAGCAACAAGTATCACATACAGGGATGCATCAGTGCCTCCAGAAATCTTAGCAGGACCTCTGTTCAGTTGAACTTTGTTTACCAAACACATCAAAGATAGGGGATCACCATCATCCTTCTAGAAAGGCATGTACTCTCTGACACACAATTTCAGTGCCATACCCCATGTAATATAGGAGCATAGATATGTAGGATTTAAATAAGAATCTTCTGGTCTGCAGACCAAAACCCGACAGGTATTTTCCATATTCAAAGCACTGTTGCATAGACTAGAGAATAACAATTCTGGGATAATAACAATTCCTGATGAACAAATTTCATGATGCTCTAACTTTTAGACAAGCAGAATGTATGTTTCACATACTTTGCTGACACTCCCTCCAGCTTCTTTATTTTTATTTTTATTTTTGGATGAGAAACAGTCATACTGAGATACCATGATTCTAGATCCTTTAAAATCACCTCTTCTCCCACCAGGAACTCTCTTGGATAAAAGCTATGTTAAGAATCTGACCAACTCTTGGTCATTATTCTTTAAGAACCATAAATATAATATTGATTTGAAATGCTTTAATTCAGCACGGTGTCAAATATGTCTCACTTTGGAGTTAATTGTTTATCATAAGAAACTGAATCTCAGTTGTCTCGTGTCACTTGTTTCTCAAAAAATCACCCTGATATTAGTAGTAGGACCAGTTCTGATATTATATAATAATATATTGGACTGAAAGCAAACTCTCAAATATGTTTAAAATAATATGAGATTTTTTTCTAGATAATTTATAAATAGGTAGATAATCTATATGCTTACAGGTCATATTTTTGTTGTAATGTTGTTCTCACAGAAATCTAACTACTCTGGATATGGCCTCATATGATAGGAAACCAAGCACTAAAATGTTGGGAGAATGATGAAAGGCAGTAGACTGTAATGTATGACTTCAATTGAAATGCCAGGAGACAACTAGTTGCCTGCAAATGTGTTTATTACAACTCAGCGGTGACTCCAATGACATAGGATATTAGCAGTAAGGACCCAAGAAACATGTGTTACCACCCAGAAAAAACCTTTAAAATTTGTTTCAGTTTGTATCTGAGTAGGAAAATGAGATGTATTTGTTAAATGTAATAAAATGAGATGCCAAGTGTTAAAATGTCTTTTTAAGAAAACCTGGACTTCTAGCTATATTTAACATATCACAATGACTATTGTTGTGTTCAGCCTAATCTATCGAGGGGAAATTGAATGGTTCTAAAGTAAATTGAAAGTTTTCATGAATAAAAGATTTTGTTGCGTTTTTCTGTGTTTAATGTTAAATATTGAGGGTGTGAAAATTTGAAATGGCTATGCTTCTCCATTTCTTTCATCTAATATAGGTCATAAGTGAATGGGAAAATATTAATTTTAGAGGCACAAAATGATTTTTTGCTTCTTGCATGCTACAACATTGAGGCTTGGAAGGTATCCCGTAGGACTTGTTTTACCTGAAATATTTAACACATACATTATAACACCAGCACATACTGAATGACCCTTTCTTGCAATTTTATTTGTTCAAGTGAACAAAACCTATTGTGCTGAATATTTTAGGAAAACTATTGAACGTATTTCCTCTCGTGGAGAAATGTGTGTTACATGTACATCTGTGACTGTGTACGTAACTGTTGAAGCCATTTGGAACTGTTGAAGCCATTTGGATGGATTGGCTTCTATGACTGATACGGGGCTGCCCAAGTCAGCATTGTGGTTCTGATCCTCAAACAACCCAGTCCATTTGTTCCTTTCACTTTGTAGCCACAGATCACAACCTTAATCTCATGGTTAATCATAATATATTTAAAAAAAAAAAAAAAAAAAAAAAAACAGCACATACATCACTATTGAGAGCAAATATCATTTAGTGGTAGAAGATCATCTTTGTGAAAGTTAGACAATGGATTCTCTAAATAAATCCCTAAAATTCACTGCTTCTCAAATTCCATACTATCCTATGATGATTACACATTTTTCAGGGTCAGTTTAATCTTCTTCAATATATACTTTTTCATAGTATATTTTCTGAATGCAAGAGTTTCTCATAAATTTCACATCTTAAATGTAAGTAAAGAATAGAAGATTTTGGTATGCGTAGATATACTTAAGACATTTGTTTACCCATAAGCTGTCTGGGAAAGCAGTGTGCATAGAGTTCAGAATTCTTCCCTCAACTTTGGCCTAATCACTCTAGAACATAGAAGTCCTTTCTCACTGGGATAACCTGTAGTGGGTTTACTTAAACCTGACACTTGCCTTCTGCTGTCTCTCATTTTTGTGGTTAGAGTAATTTTGACAAAACATTGGCAGTCTTGGTACTGAAGATTGGAATAGAATCATTATTTGGGGTAGCTAATAAAAGTGGTGATAAAAGAAAGACTAATAGGTTTGAGAACTAAAGGTGTTTACAGTAAATTTTAAGAGAATGAAGGGGAGCAGCAATACTGTGTCTAACTCAGGACGTCTTAAAACAACTAAACTTTAGTTACTTTTTGATGTTTACAGTTATCAGAAAGAATACCTTGGTTATTGAAGGACATTAGAAACTATAGCAGTGAAAAGTTTATATAAAAATTTTAGTAAGATGCTGTTCTTTGTAATAAAAATAGAGAATGTGCTATACTCACTTTATACATATTTTTACTGGGAGAATGCTGATCTAAGCATCTCTCTAGTAAGTCATCATTGCCTGCTACCTGTGAAGAGTTGAATCTCTGTCCCCTTTTAGTAGATGGATAAAAATTTAGAACTCTTGATCTCAGCAGTGGCAGCTAAAACACTTATTTTGATCTCTCTTCCCTGGTAACAGGAGATGAAACTTGAGAAGACAGTGTGGACTAATGGATAGAGTGTTGGACAGGAGGTTAAGAACCTCTGTTCTGTTCTATTCCCAGCCTGCTACTGAGTTGCTATGTAAACTTAGATAAGCCAGTTACCCCCTCTGCACCTCATATTTTCCATCTGTGAAAATGTAGGTAGAGATATTCTGTACTCAGCTCTTTCACAAAGATAATTGTGAGCAACAGCTTACTTTGAAGACGTTAGTATATTTTGGTTGAAAAGATGTTGCATAAGTTTGTCAGTGCCTCTGTTTCCTTTGGCAACACCATTCTCACAACCTGGCATTTTATAAACTGTCCCTTATTGATGCGTTGAGAAACAGGTACCATTACAGCAGATTTTGTGTCGCACAGAAGCTGAGAGTGTGACTGGAGTCAGACTGCTTGGACTTGAATCTTGGGTCCACCACAAACTAATACTGTAACCATGGGCAAGTCAGTGTGCTAGATTTCCTCATCTGTAAATTGAGGATAATAATAGTACCCACCTCACTGGAATATGGTAAAGCTGGAAGGCATTTATGAACAGCACTTTAAACCTTATGTAAACACGTACTGTGCTTTATGTAAGTATATGTAGTTACTGTTATTACCCAAAGCAGTTCTTCATTAATGTGGCAGGTAAGGTAAAGCGTCGCCTCTGGTCTGGCTTTGTTTCGTGCTCTATTCCCAGCATGGCTGCCCACTCTTTCTCCTGAATGCGTGTATCTCCCTCTGCCACTCCCACAAGTCCCTGGGCCCTGAGGATAAGTGTATAGTTATCTGTCGTATCATCTGTCATAAGTGAGGGAGTGTCACATAAAAGATAAAAGAAATCCAGGTGTTTTAAACTAGTCTCAAAAACTGATTTATTAATTTGGAAAAAAAATAGTAACAGATTTCAGAAGTATTACAGAATGGGAGTGAGATAATTGATAGTTGACAGCTGTATCCTGATTATTATAAAAAACAAACCGGAAAACATCAGGAAGAAATAGAAGAGCAGTTAACAGTTTAAATGGAGTTCATTTTAACCTCTCTTGTCTGCTTCCAGTAGTGGTGACCATCAGAGAAGAATTGTGTGAAGGTACCAAAAACTGCATGAACTGCTCAAACACAAAGAAGTAGTGTTGATGTTTTCAAAAATTTGAAGACAAATATATCTGTTTCAGGGGTTAAAGATATTACTAGAGCATAAAAGTTTAGGATTTGATGACAATTGTTGATTCGATTTTTTTAACATTATGGTGTGGAATTTCAAAAATTGAATAGCATCTAAAAGATAACCATATGTTTCATTGATTATTTTTTTCTCTATTTATTATTAGAACCAACCATCATCACAGTTGATCCACCTGCTTGTGGGGAATTATCAAACTGCACTCTGACAGGGAAGGACTGCATTAATGGTTTCAAACGCGATCACAATGGTTGTCGGACCTGTCAGTGCATAAACAGTGAGTAGACAGAAGACTATGTTTTTTCTGAGGCCTAATATGATATTGTCAAAGCAGATTGTGTAATTGAATATCTTTTTCACTCCTGTTCAGACATTCCCTTGACAACCTGAAAAAAGGGGGAAAAAAGTTTTTAACACAAACAAATACATAATCATTTGGGAGAAAGGAGCTGCTTCTTTTTTGTGGTTTTTGTCTCTGTTTCCTTGATGTCCAGTTGCATTAGGAGTGCCACCTGGAATGACTTTGGAGTGCATCCTTCCAGCCACCCAGCAGGCTCTCCCTTTAGTACACTCACCAGGTCATCCAGTGACGAGGTCACCCACACATACAGTGTCACATTCCACATATGACAGCCATAATCCTTAGACTGTGCTTCACTTTGTTGACCCCAGCTCTGGCTCCATGTAGATTCCAATCAAGTGTCTAGGCCCTGCCCTTTAGAGTACAGAAGAGTATATTGCATTTCTTCCAGAAAAAAATAAAATAATACATACACACACACCCCATATATGTTAAAACCATTTTGAATTCCCCTAATTCTTCTGCCAGGATAAACATCCTCATTCCCCTTGACCATTCCTCGGGTGACAGTTTCTAGAACTTTCTTGATCTTTTCCATCCTTTGACACACAATATGTCATTGTCTTTACATAAAACGTGGCCCACAATCAAGATACTCCAGAATAGGCAGGCATGGTGGCTCACGCGTATAATTTCAGCACTTTGGGAGGCTAAGGCAGGCAGATCACTGGAGCTCAGGAGTTCAAGACCAGGCTGAACGACATGGCGAGATCCCTGTCTCTACCAAAAATACAAAAAAAAAAAAAGCTAGGCATGGTGGTGTGCACCAGTGGTCCCAGCTACTCAGGAGGTTGAGATGGGAGGATCACTTGAGCCTGGTGGGACAAAGGTCACAGTGAGCTGAGAGCGCATTACTGTACTCCAGCCTGGATGACAGCACAAGACACTGTCTCAAAAAGAAAAAGGTATTCCAAAATTTGGTCTACTGAGTACAGTGCTACTGTGTGGCCTAAGTTTGCATTAGCTCCTTGAATTGCACTTCGTTGGCTGATATTGAAGTTATAAGTAGCTAAAAACACTAGGAACTTTTTTACATCACCTGCTGTTAGGTGGTTCTTATCTGTTGTATAATAGAACGTTTGATTTTTTTTTTAGTGATAATATATACCCAGCCAAATATAACAATAAATTATCCTAATCGCTTTAAACCATTTTCTGACTACTTGGGATATTTTTTAATCTTGACAATGTGATCTTATGCTTTATGCCTCCCAGCTTATATTAAATAAGCACAGCTTACATGTCCTTATGTAAATCACTGAATTAAAATAAACTGCACAGAACCAAGGACAAAGACCTGCAGAATGATGGTGAACATAGCTGATCACTCCTTGAGTAGAGTTATTTAGCTGACAACATATATCTCCACAAGAAATCTTGAAAAACACTTGGCCCGTATCTTGTCTGAAGTCAAAATATATTACAAAATACATCAGAGCATTCCTTTGCTGGAAACTCTATTTTTAAAATGAGCTGAAGTTATAGGGGCCTGGCTTGTTTTGCCAGAATCTGTACTGGCTCCTGGTAGTCAGTGCTTTATTCCCCTTAAATGTCACAAATCATATATTTAACAATTATTTCTGAAGAATTTTCAGTTGTGAGTGTCAAGTTGTGTAGTTTTTAGAATATTTTGTCCCTTTTGAATTGACATTTGGCCTATTTTCTTAAATCTCTTTCCATTCTCTTCGATTTCTCTCAAACATAATAGTGGTTCTGTAATAAGCAGGCTTTGGTCCTGTGGGTATAATTACCATGGCTCAGAGGCTTGGTCTCAACATAGACACTTGCTCACTTTCTGATTTATCAATTATCTCAGGCTTTAACATACTGCTTAACCTTAATCATTTGTCACTTTTATGAAAGTATTTTTTGAAGAAGATACAAAATAGGTGTTAAGCCATTCTACTTCCTCAGTTTACATGTGACCATCATACTATCTGCAGTGGCATTAGTGCTAAAACTGAGTTTATAAAACGCTTGTTGGCCAGGCATGGTGGCTCACGCCTGTAATCCCAGCACTTTGGGAGGCTAAGGTGGATGGACTGCTTGATCTCAGGAGTTTGAAACCAGCCTGGGCAACATGGCAAAACCCCATCTCTATAATAACAACAACAAAAAAAAAAAATACAAAAGCTAGCCAGGCATGATAGCGAGGGCCTGTAGTTCCAGCTACTCAAGAGTCTAAAGTGGGGAGATCTCTTAAGCTTGGGAAGTGGAGGCTGCAGCTAGCCGTGATTGTGCCACTGCACTCCAGCCTGAGTGACAGAGCAAGACCCTGTTTCAAAAAACAACAACAACAAAAACTCCTGTTAAACTTGTAGTTACTGCCATCTTTAAATTTCCTATAAGGCTCTATCCATTTCGGGGTGTCCTGACTTCCTACACTTAATTCTGTTTAGGAAAGGGTCAGTCCCTGTTGCCTTTTATACCTCCCTTTAGAAAGCCAAGGTCACGGAGTTGCCTTGGCAGC